GGGAAGACCCTCTATGAGGTGGACAGATTCAGTGACTGGGGTAATCGGGATGGGTGTGTCAGAGGCAATGAGATTGGCACAGGATAGAGCATGGTTTAGGGCTGTTGTACATAGGGTCGCTATGAGTCACAAACGACTCGACGGCACATAACCACCACAACAACAGATATTTGGTTCTTGGGACAAGAGGCAGTTAAAATGGTCATTGTTTTTAAGTTGTTTGAGCCCGCACTTTGTACATTACCACTTTAAGTAGAGAATGTGCTCCATGCATTAGTATACACCGTCTACACGTGAAACCTGCACCAGGAAAGACATGCCTACCTGCTGGGATCTTGCAGCAAGTCTACGGCTTCCCTCAGCTGCTCAATCATTGCTATATTCATGTCCTGGGTTTCAGACTGTACTCTACAATATGAAACAAAGTACACAAAACAATGAAAGGAGTAGTAAAACAAATATCATCGAAGACAAACTTACAAAACATGATTAAAAACGGGGGAAAAATCATTCAGGCAAAAGCAACATTTCAACCAAGATGAGCCAGTACCCTGCTGAATGTGTGGGGGAGAACTCCAGAAGTGGGGAAGAGGATAAAGGTGGTTGGTGGGATAGGGATCAGTGTCTGCCTTAAAGCAGCTCGTGCTAAGTTCCCATCTGTGGATCTCCATCCGCTCATCTATAAAATCAGGGCAACGGACTTGGTTACAGTTCTCACACTGGCCTTTCCTGAGCCCTTGGGGCTGCAAGGCACCACCTCCACTTCAGTCACTGTAGCCCAGCTGTATTACTTTCACATGGGGTATAGAGCTTCATCGTGAGGCAGTGGCTTGCAATCTGGGCTCTATACACAATGAAATAATCCAGAAGCTTAAGTCAATATACCTATAAACTACATACCTGTCTATCTATCTGTCCATCATCTATCAACAGCATGCACACGCGTGCGCACGCACACACACACATCCCCACGTTTGTCTGAACTGGGGCTTGAATATGTCTAAATTTTTACAAAGGTCTACAGATAAGACGTAGTCTCTAGTAAAGGGTATCATGTTTGGAAAGGTCCAGGATCAGAAGACCCTCAAGCAGATGGGCTGACACAATGACTGCAACAATGGGTTTGGGCTTGGCGGAGACTGGCAGATGGCACAGAACAGGGCAGGGTTTTGTGCATAAGCTCGCTTTTGAGTCCGAGCCAATCTGATGGCACCTCACAACAACAGCAGTATAGGTGACACTGGTCTAGGACTGAGAAGAATATAAGATTGAGAAGAGATGGCTAATGCTGTACACAGTTCAAAAACATCCTTATTCTACACACTTCTACGGTTTTACAACCAAACAAGGTATCTTTAGCCTCATAAAAATATATCCAAAGAAGCACTACTAATATGAAAGCAGCTCTGTAATGTATTTATTTAAAATTCTTTCAATTGAGGTGGTTTATTGGTAGAACTCATGTCTCCCATATCAGAGATCTAGTTCAGATTCACTGTCAGTGCACCTCAAGAGAAGCCACCGGCTGTCAGTATAGACTTGTGTATTGCCATGATGTTGAAGAGACTCTAGTGGCTCTTTCAGACTAAGAGCAGGCTAGAAGAGAATGGCTAGACGAGAACGGCTAGGAGAGAATGGCTAGCAGAGAACGGCTAGGAGAGAACGGTTAGGAAGAAAACGGCTAGGAGAGAATGGCTAGGAGAGAATGGTTAGGAGAGAATGCCTAGGAAGAGAATGGCTAGGAGAGAATGGCTCGAAGAGAATGGCTAGGAGAGAATGGTTAGGAGAAAATGGATAGGAGAGGATGGCTAGAAGAGAATGGGATAGCTATATACATTGAAAGATCAGCCAATTAAAACCTCATGGACCACAATGGCCAGATCCACAATGATCAAGGGATGGTACTGGATTGGGTAATAATCACTTCACTGTACATGTGGCTACAATAATAGCCAATAACAACTACCACCACAACCCTTTTCCACTGTAAAAAATAAAAGAATTATCTTTAAGGGTTTTTTTTTAAAGTTTTTAACAACTCTGAAATATCTTTACTCGAAGAAACTCTGTAAAGCCTAATAGAGGCTCTTGCACACTCTTCCCCTGTAAGTCTTGCCTTGCAAGACTTTATTTTATGGGCAATACAGGGGAAAGGACATCAGTTTGGCATGAGAGTTCTTGCCACTTTAATTAAGACCTTGGGCAAGAGAATCAATCTCTCTGTGTCTCATTTGCCTTTCGTGAAGTGGGAGATAATAAGAGAACCTCACAGGGTTATTGCGAAAATGAAAATGAGTCATTACTTGTGAAGTCTTTATGACAGGACCTAGAATGTGGTATACAATAAATGTGGCTGCTACAATCATCAGACTTGAGCTCAGGTAATTAAAGGTATATGGATTTCTAGGATCTTGACCCAGAAGATAAGTAAAGGATGAGAAGCCAACCTACAGATAATCTGAGGTCCAATTCTGGGAAGGAATCTAAACTCTTCAGGCTAGAAATTCTTATTTAATTCTTTGGATCACATTTCTGTCCTCAACCTCAAGTCAGCTAATACTGAAGGTCAAGGAAGAGGTTGAGACTTTGTACCACATTCCAAACATTGTGAGAATAAGCATCAGAGGCCCAAAAGCTTGCAACTTTTACTAGCATTGCTGATAAGAGTAGTAGGCTGTCAAAATATAAGCAGATCAAGCTTCCACCACATCGGTGAACTTGACAGGGATGGTGGTGTAGGTAAGCCTGGTACTCACAGTGCCTCTGTGGGCCAATGCACATCCTCTTCTATCCGCAGCAGTTCCTCACAGTCTTCTGCCCTGCCCTGTGGGGACAAACACTCTGCTGAGAGCCACAGCCTACAACAGTTGGTCCATGGGCATGCTAGACACTTAAGGATTAACTGCTTTTTTCTTGTCGTCTTCCCTCATCCTGGTGTTGACAGATGCTCCCAAGGGCATGTCAGTCCCTCAAGAATATCACCCAGCTTGCTGACTGGAAGGCTATGTGCATGTGTCTGTGTTGAAGAGAAGTCTGAAGGGACTGAGAAGGTGTGTGTAGGAGGGTGCTTACTGAAGAGGGGGATGTGTTTCTGTGAGTGTATTGAAGAGGTAAAGATGATAAAGCTTAGTTTCACACACTTTGGGCATGTTGCTAGGAAAGGCTATTCCTTGGAGAGAGACATCATGCTTGGGAAGGCAGAGGGACAGTGAAAAAGCAGAAAACTCAACCAGGTGGATTGACACAGTGACTACAGCAATGGGTTTGAGCACGTTAGAGATTGTAAGGCTAGCACAGGATAGGACAGGGTTCAGAACTGTTGTTCATATGGTCACTCTGAGTCATACTGGATTCAATGAGACATGACAACAACAGACTGAAAAGGGGTGTGCTTAAGTGTGTTGGGGAGGGGGGAAAATCCCTATTAAATTACAACATAGATGTCAAATTGTATCTAAATTACAACATAGATGTCAAATTGTATCTAATAGTTCTCATGTGCTCAACATGAAGAATTTACTAGTATATTCTCCTTTCTCTACCTTCCCCATTGTTATGATAATGGTTACCCATGGGGGACAGTGTTTGGTGGAGCTCTCCAATTAAAACAAGCTTGGAAGCAGGAGTGGCATCCACTTTCGAAATAGCTTGCCTCCAGAAACTCTATGAACTTAGAGAAACAATCAAAGTTATACAAGCGTTCAGGTCTTTCATTCATAGAGTTACTATGAGTGGTCTATGACTTGATAGCTCTTAACAACAACTACAACCTCCCCCAAAGAGACAATGCAATGTGGGGAGGAGGGTAAATTTAAAAAGGCTTGTGTTATAGTTGGCTTTGCATACACGTCTGTCTACTGTCATCTCACCTTGAGAAATGCTGTTTTAACAAAACTGACAGGACATTTTTTGTTACCCCTCAAACATTCACCAAGGTGACTCCTACCCTATTTTCTCCTCTAGCCTCGGCCCACAGATCCACTCTGCTGAGAAAAATCTAGGGAAATTTGCTATCCTGAAATATTGTTTCTTTCTCTTTTTTTTTTAAAACTAATTGGTTTGATGTTTTCTTTTATAATTTGAATTTAGGAATTTTTTAAATGAACACATTTTCAGGGCTTCCATCTTAACTTTGCTTCTCAATTTGAACTCTTCGTTAATAGAGAACCCCTATTTCTCCTGTTTTCATGAGAAAACAGGAACTGCTAGACAAGCGTGGAATCTGGGAAAGCCTTGTGGGAACCACAACCTGAGAGCAATGTGATTAGTACTGAACTTTGGGAAAACATCTGGTGGCAGAACATAGAGTGTGTGGGTGTGTGCACACGTGTGTGCATGTGCATGTGCATGTGTGGGGTCTGGATAGGGGGGAATGAGCAGGCTCCCATTCTCACAGAAAGGATGAGGCTCCAGTGAGGCAATGGCAGTAGAGGTAAAATGCAGAAAGGAGGCAACGGGTGTGAGGCCCTGTGAAACTAGCACTGCTACATTAATGGCAGATTAGATATACAGACTCTAGATTTAAGGCTTTCTTTGCTTTATCCTTCTTTTTGAGTGTTTGCGTTATCTACTGAATTGCATTCTTCATAATATGTGCTGAAATTCTCACTCTTCTACATGGGGATGTAATCCAACATAACAAAATGTACTCTTCTTCCATAATGCAATCCAATGTTACGTATTTGAGTTCACGGCAATGTGTGTGTATCCTAAAAACAAATCAGTTCTGAGTTGTCACAAGAACAACATAGATTAAAGGATTAGTCACACAGGCATGCACATACAGGGAAGAACGACACCATGCAAATACTGCCAGGGGCCCGGGAGCACCCACAGGAAGGAGCCAAATAGCTGAGATTCTGGTTTGAATTTTCAGAATGGCAAGAAAATACATTTTTGTTCTTTACAGTCACACACTTGTGGTATGTGTGTTATTACAACACCACTAGGAAGCTAAGTGCTTTGAAAGTGATTTAGTTTGGTTTTCTACAAATTTATAATAGGTTCGTTTCCTGCATCTTGAGGTGGTCATGATCTGAGAACAGGTCCAGTTACCTGCTCTCGTGCAGGGCAAATCCAGCTGCTTTCTTCCAAAGTGACAGGATGATGCCTAGACATTTAGGTGAAAACTGAGTTCAGCCATCATGACACAGAGCACTTCAGCAATCTCTTTCCTAGCTTTCTGGATTTTTTTTTGAGATCTCCAGACCTTTCTTTCTAGTCCATTTTAGTCTGGAAGCTGTGCCTCCGTGGACAGGTGGGTGGTGATGGTTGTGCTTGCACAGCACTGGCCAGGAATCAAACCCCACAGTGCTCAGACCATCTTTCACAAGCCAGGGCAAATCTGCATTTTACGAATACAATTATCTTTGAGATGACTAGATGAAACAGCAGAAATATTCCAAGTAGAACCGTATCAAGGCAATTAAGCATGTTCCAAAGCAGAACTGAACTACTTACTCTGATCAATACTAGTTTTTCTCCTGTCCCTTTGCTGCTATCAAGAGAAAATCTCCTGAGAGCTGACTGACTCCCCATTAAGTCTTCCAACACCCCACTGAAACTACAAGCTCAGAAATAAGCCCCCTCAGAGTGACCTTTTAAAAGAGGGTAAGGGGGTGTGTTCAATTCCTAATTCTGCAATTTTCCATTTTTCTCTTACATTGTGGGCATATGAGGCAATTTCAGTATGAGGCAGAATTCCCTTTTTCCATGGGGGAGATCTGAGAACCTCACACACAGCTACCACTATCACCGGTTAGTAAAGGCATGTGGGTTGCTGTATTTCAGTGGAACTTTTAAGCTAAGATAAATGAAGAATGGCTAGGATCTAATTCGAAAAGTCAGTCAAAGAAAAAATGGTCTGATTCTATTATGCATGTGGTCACCATTCCGTTATCCAATTTGATAGCATCCCAAAACAAACACAAATAACTATGGGCACACTTCCAAGAATATTCACCATGAATATACTGCAAAGTATGTATAACTGTCTACTGTAGCTTTTTTAAGTAGTAATTTTCTCATTTATGTGATATTCTGAAAAGCTGAAAGCTAAATAATTTCAGAAGGTAAGTACACATAAATGCAAACAAACAGAAGGACATGTTTGGTAAAGACCAACAAACTAAAGCTAGAAAACACACAAAGCAACATTCAAGAAGATATAATAAAGTCCTGAGTAAAATTATGGTAAACTGAGTATTTAAGGTGAAAGATTAGCAACTTTCAATTTAAATTTTAATGCATGAATCAGAAGAGCATTAGGAGACTAGAACGAGGGCTGCATGGTGGAGGGGACCTGGGGGAGGGTTTGTAAAACAATGAAAGAATCTTTTCTTTTACTTTTCCATAATTTTTGGACTCATGTACTTATAACTTGTTAGTCAAATTTGTGTCTTCTAGGTTGCAACACCCCCATGATACATCTTGAAGGATATGTACATGTACAGCCAAGCACAATCAATAAGAGTGCATCTGAATTCCAAAATCAATCTCCATAATAGTCTATGTGTTTCCTACTGCCAAAGGGGCCCTTTAGAGTAGTGAGAGAAGATCTTCACCCTGAAACCCACAGCGTCCCTTTTCAGCAGGAAGTAGCTAAGAGAATACGCCGTCCCCTTTTCCTTATGACTCAGGGTGAAGTCTCTCTCAGGGAGGAGTGATAGGGAATGGCAAAGGATACACTGACAAAGAAGATTAATCAGAACTGGCTTTGACAAGCACTGTGGCATTTGGACAAGAACAAACTGGGAGGAGGGTAGAGAGAATAGTGCAACAATGAATGAGTGGAAGCCCAAAATCTCTGTAAATGTTTATGAAAATTAATAAAATATAATTATAGGAAATGTAAAAAAAAAAAAAAATAAAATAAAATAAAAAAAAAAAAAAAAGAAGAGCATTAGTAAAGACAGCTGATGCTCAACTTGCCTTAAGATAGTCCATAAATTCAGAACTGAGAACACCTTGTCCTTCAGTAAACTGGTCTCTTTCTTCTCCTGAGTTATTATTGTCATTCAAAAGGGAAGGCTCTGGCTGAAATTCCTGATGAAATGCACCTATACAAAGAAAATACATCATTACTTTATAGCTGAAGAAAGCAGGAAGCCCTCAAATATCCTGATTATTTCAATCTTCTTTCTAAATTTTTAAAACTCAAACTCATGACCTTTTAAGGAGGTATATAAGTGATCCTAGTTTTCTCTTCTCTGAAGGGTGTAAAGAAGAAATAGTAAAAAGGAGGAAGAAGAGGGAGAAACACAAAATTTCAATGTAAACATCTGACTCATGAGTCTTTAAAGCTTGATTCCTTTCAAAAGAAATAAAATGCCTTCGATTTTTTTTAAAGAATGGAGGGGAAATAAATCTAAAAGAAAGCTTTTGCAGTTAATAATTTGTGACAAGTATTTCAAATTCAAAAACCAACAAACGACAAATGTGTGGGCTCGTCCGTCAGGAGCCCTGCTGCTAACTCAAGGGAAGGCTCTTCCTGGGGGAGAAAAATGGACAAATTCTTCCAGTGCAGCTGGCAGCTTCCTGAGAACCTGCTGGAAGGGCAGGTATGATTTGGTTCTGACTTGAAGGCAATGAATTTGAGTTTTTTAAGGATTTCAAATTCAATCTCGAACAAACATATACTGAGCTACTACTACTACTAAATAACAAACAACATTTTTACTAAGTATTTTAGGGACTAAAAATTTCAGTCTCTATGATTCTTGTTCTTTGGGAGCAAATACTCTCAGAATAGACTGTGAGAAGGGCCTAAACAGCATCCAAAAATATGTCATCAGTAAAGCCATGACGATGAGGGCCCCACACAAGCCCAAGCTCTCTCAGGAAGAGTATGGCCAACCAGGCTGTGTTCAAGAGCGTAAAACAGAGCAAAAGAAAAACCAGGAGAGATGTGTTTATCTGAAGAAGGAAAAAGAGAAAATAAATAGTGGCAAAATAGCAAACGGTTACAGGGGGCAGTGGGGGGTGGGTTGGGGGTGGGATAGATCACTCTGGTGACACAATTAGAAAGGGTAACACCAACATGAATGTCTATCAAATTTTTGTGCAATATTTCAGCAAAAATCTTACTATTTTAAGTTAACGTATCCCTGAAGTTAGTTATAACAACAACAACAACAAAAAAGTTGATTCTGCTGTTTTTTTTTTCTAAGCCCAGTTTACATGTATTTGTGTTCTGTTAGTGGGTGAAAAGTAGTGCTATTAATCTAAAAGGAAGTGGTTTGAATCCACCAGCTGCTCTATGGGAGAAAGATAAGCAATCTCTTCCCACGTGATTTACAACCTCTGAAAACTTGCTGGAGGGTCAGTTATGAGCCTATTTGAACTTTACACCACATAACAAGAAGAAAGCTGGAACTCTACATGAATTCACTTTCTGACCTTCCAATGATGTTTTAAATCACACAGTTTCAATTACACATACTGACAGTGTTTATATACTTTCTGAGTAAGGCAAGTACTATGGTATTTTAGCTACAATATTGTGTTAGATCTTTTGTTTGTTTTTGGTGAGTGAATTTGTACCAATAATGTCTTCGAGTATAAAACCATACTTAAAGGAAAAGACAAGGGGTAGGGGAAGGCCTCCACTCAGCTACTAACAACATAATTTAGTGTAAAAATATTTTACAAAACCATTTTGTTGGTATTTCTATAATCTAAGAAATATTTGTTGTTGTTGTTGTTATGTGCTGTCGAGTCTCCTGCGACTCATAGCGACCCTCTGTACAACAGCCCTAAACCCTGCTTTAGCCTATGCCAGCCTCACTGTCTCTGATACACCCATCCCCATTACCCCAGTGACCGAATCAAACCATCTCACCAAGGGTCATCCTCTCCTGCGCTGTCTCTCCACCCTCTCAAGCATGATGTCCATGTCCCTCTCCAAGGACAGATCCCACCTTGCAACATGTCCAAAGTATGTCAGATGGAGCTTCAGAATCCTTGCCTCCAAGGAGCAGCCTGGCTTCACCCTCTCCAGGATGAACTTGTTTTTTCTCCTAGCAGTCCATGGTATAGTCAGTATTTTTCTCCATCACCAGAGTTGAAAGGCATCAACTCTCCTCTGTCATCCCTAGTTCCTGTCCAGCTCTCTGATACATAGCAAGTAGCTGTAAAGACCATGGACTGCTAGGTCCATGAACCTTAGTCTTCAGACTGACATAACTGCTCTTTAGTACTTTGGAGAGGTTTCTGACAGCAGACTTTCTCAATGCCATTTGTCTTTTAGTTTCCTGGCTGCTGTTACTAAGAATGTTGATTGTAGAGCCAAGCAAATTGAAGCTGTCAACAACCTCAATCTCTTCGCCATCTATCATGATGCTGCCAATGGGCCCCACGGTGAGAATCTTTGTTTTCTTGATGTTGGGCTTCAATCATATTGAAGGCTACAGTCCTTGACCTTCTGCAGCAAGCGCTTCATTCAGGTCCTCCTCAGTTTCAGCAAGCAGGGTTGTATCATCTGCATAATGCAGACTGTTGATGGTCTACTTCCAATCTTGATGCCACACTTCTCCTCATAGAGCCCAGCCACCCAGATAATCTGTTTCGCATATAGACTGAAAAGATATGGAGATCGGATACATTCTTGACACACACCCTTCCCAATTTTGAACAATGCAGTGTTTCCTTGCTCTGTTTTGACGATTGCCTCCTGGTCCAAGTACATAAGTCCAATCAAGTGTTCTGGGATCCCCATTCTTCTCAGAGTCAGTCACAGTTTGTTGTAATCCACACAGTCAAACGCCTTTGCATAGTCAATGCAACACAGATTACACTCCTCTGTTACTCTCCGCTTTTAGCCAAGATCCATCTGACATTAGCTATATCCCTAGTGCCATGGCCTCTTCTAAATACAGCCTGCACTTCAGGCAGTTTTCTGTTGATGTGTTGTTCTGGTTATTTTTGGATAATCTTCAGCAGAATCTTACTTGTAACAATGTAGAACTATATTTTCTTTATCATATTTTATGTTTAAAATTAGTATACATTATCAAAATTTTTCCATGGTCTTGTATGTGGGAGGAAGGCCATGGAGGTGGAAGGTTCATATCAATTCTTACCACACTGGGTGACTCAAGCCCTAATGGCACCTTTGCAAATAAGACTGCTCTTAAAGGACTCCGAGCAAGACAACTACTCATACTCAGAATAAAGACGACAAAATTTTCTGGATACCAAATCATGTAATTTGAGAGATTTATTTGAACTCTACTTATTCTGCATAATGGCATTTAATTTTTTTTTTTCATTTTAGTGAAAATTTACAGAAAGGTTGGGCTTTCGTTCATTCACTGATACACATTTTCCTCCCTCTCCCTCCCCCAATTCATTTTGTAATGCACGTCTTGTTCCAGATGGATCACTGCCTTTCACATAATGTCGAATCATCCATTCCTTTTCAGATAGTCTTTCTCTTATTCTCTATGTTATAATGTTTGGTGAAAGATTAATAAAGTGGCATTCATATTTTTATATAAACTCACTGTAATTCTGACTCATAGAGTGCTTTCAGGAAGAGTAAAACTGTCCTACTAGGATTCCAAGACATAATATAATGTTGACATGAGCCAACTGCGATGCCTTTCTCTCAGGGAGCAGTTATTCAGTGGGTTCAAACTGCCTACTTTTTCGTGAGAGAAGCTGTGCTATCAAGGCTCCTGTATAAAATACTGAGTCGTATATTTTGCCTGAAGATGGATAGTGTAAGGTACCAAGCAGCATCTCAGGTGAGTGAAACTACAAAACTTACAATGTTAAACTTAAAAATCCCAAACATAAGATGTGAACAAACCCTAAATACTGGCTTCATGCATTGAGCTGACTCACATGGTTCTCTCACCCTTTCTCAATAAGGGTATCTTCAGGACTATTAAGGAGATCATTTCCATACTAACTCAATTTTCCAAAAGCACCAGGAAGATCATTTCTAAATTTCAGTTTACATTACTTACATATAATGAAGAATTCCTTGCAATAAATTCTAAAACTTAGCATTTTTCTAAAAATTCACTGAGTACACAGCAGCAATGAAAATATTGTCAAAATACAATTAATTTAATGAAGGCTTTCTCTGCAAGATATGATGTGTATCAGTAGGATCCTGAAGATACATGAGATATGCAGTGTTCAGTGGACACTGTGATGACTACTTCATCACAAACATTCAGGTTGTCAAAGGATCTCAGCAGTCATCTGATCTAACTGCTCACTGTACAGGCGAGGGAGTCCATGTCAACTCATCCCAAATCAAGCAGATTCCTGGCAATTAGAATTCCCATGCCCACTTGCAGTTGGTGCAGTTACTTGAAAAGGTATTTCCCTCTAGTTCAGCCCATAAAACCTCCCATGAGCAAACATTCATGCTCTTCCTATTAGGACAGAAGAGAACAGAAGTCATAGAAGAACTATGTTGAAAATGGTAGTCACAAGATGGAAGAAGCTGGAGCCCTTGTATCACTTGGAGGAGAGTTGCCTGCCAATCACTAATTCCTATTTAGACATAATTTATCTGGTGTTAAGCTATTAGGGATGGAAAATTCTGGTTAAAGTCATCTTAACTAATAAATCTACTATATGGTTTGAGCCCCCCACTCCCCCAGTGAGTGGATTTAAAGACTCTGGTGTAAGCCTCCAGAATGAAAAGGTTTACTTCTTCCTAGTCACGTGGTCACTAGAAAGTTACTTAAATTCTGAGCCTCACCTTCCTTGGAGATGGTGTCTACCTGGGCATTCAGATCTTTAAATGAGACTCCTCTCACAACTGTGCACAGCAAGTCCATCTTTGTGCATATTTAAAACATAACAGTTGAAATTTAACAACACGGACTATCACCTATCACCTATCACCTACCTTTGACACCCAGACCTGGAACTGGACTGCGGTGATGGCACACATCCTCCTTGATCTGTTCTTCTTCCATGATGTTTGACATTGGCACATTAAGGCTGATAGTGTCTTCATCGGATGGCTAAAACATAAGAGCACAGTGTTTTATTCAAGGGAGAAATGCTATCAGGGTAGATAAAAAGAATTAAATGTTAGAAAACCTTTTGTGATTCTCCCAAATAGAATCCTGAGTAAAAGAAGCCAGACCCCAATGCAGGGAAGTGCACTTCTAAAAGTATCTCAAATACAGGCAAAGCCAAGCCACAGTGACTGAAGCCAGGACAGTTATTACCCTTCGGGTGGAGGTGAGGGGCACAGAGAGGACTTTCTGGTAAAGTTCTGTTTATTAAACCTGGATCTGGCTACATGAGTGTGTTCGCTTTGTGAAAATTCATCCAGCTAACATTCATGATTTATATACTTTTCTAGTTTATCTCATATACGTTGGGCATTTTGTTAGGAGAGGTCAATCTTTGCAGAGAAACACCACACCTGGAAAGATGGAGCATCAGCAAAGACGAAAAAGGTCCTCAACAAGATGAAATGACACAGGGATTCTATCAATGGACTCAAGTATATCAGAAACTGTGAGGCTGGCACATGACAGGACAAGCTTCAGATCAGTTATTTATAGAGTTGCTTGGAGTTGTGGTCGACTCTATGGCACCTAACAACAACAACAACAACACTTTATATATATATTTTTAACTGAAACCTAATCCTTTCCAAACAGAAGAGCTTAGGCAGAGTGTCCAGCTATCACTATGTAATACTTGACTAAAACAAAGAAATAATTTCAAGTAGACTATTTTATTACCCCTAAATCTCATCAATTTTATCAGATCTGATGACAAAGTCAATTTACCAAAACTACACCAAGGTTTCTTGTTATGCATCAGAGAGTTGGACAATGACCAAGGAGGATAGAAGGAGAACTGATGCCTTTGAGCTGTGGTGCTGGAGAAGAGTACTGAGAATACCATGGACTGCTAAGAAAACAAATAGATTTGTCCTGGAGAGGGTTAAACCGGGTGGCTCCTTGGAGGCAAAGATTCTGAGGCTCCGTCTAACTTACTTCGGACATGTAGTGAGGAGAGACCGGTCCTTGGAGAGGGACATCATGCTTGGGAGGGTGGAGGGACGGCGCAGGAGAGGAAGGACCTCTATGAGGTGGATTGATTCAGTGACTGGGATAATTGGGATGGGAGTGTCAGAGACAGTGCGATTGGCACAGGACAGAGCGGAGTTTAGGGCTGTTGTACATAGGGTCGCTATGAGTCGCAGGTGACTCGACGGCACATAACAACAACAACAAACACCAAGGTTTCACTTGACTAGTCACAAATGCAAGAGAGTCCTGGTAGCCTTTTGCACTTTGAATCTACCAACTGTGCCAAGGGAGAATGACAGGCAATCTCCTCTCATGAAAATCACAGTCGTGGAAACCCAATGGAGGGTCAGCTATGAGTGTGTCCATATTCAAAGGCATTCAGAGACACAAACATATACTCACAGAATAGTAGTTAATCTCTGTGACGATGTCTCATTTATTTATAATTCACCTAATATACAACACTAAGATTGGCACAGTAATCAGATCGATTACATCTGTGAAAGGAATTGTTGGAGAAATTCAGTATCAGCAGCGAAAACTAGACCAGGTGCCGCCTGCAGAAAAGACCATTAACTACTCATCTGCAAGTTCAAATTAAAGCTAAAGAAGGTAAAATCAAATCTACAGGAATCAAAATTTGACCTTCAGTCTATCCAACCTGAATTTGAAAACTAACTCAGGAATAGGTTTGAGGCTTTGAACATTAAGAAACGAAGATCAAATGAGCTATGGGAGGGATATATCAAGAATATCATCCATGAAGAATGCAAAGGTCATTACAAAGAAAGAGGAAGAAAAAAAGACCAAAAGTGGTTATCAGAACAGACTGTGAATATTTCAGTAGGGCATTGAGAAGCCAAAGCAAAGGGGGAAAAAACCCAACACGTTAAAGAGTTGAATGGAAGATTTCAGAGAGCATCTTGGGAAGACAAAGCGAAGTATTACAATGAGATATGCAAGAAGCTGGAGTCGGAAAATCAAAAGGGCAAAACTCACTAGGCATTTCTTAAACTAAAGGAACTAAAGGCCAAATTAAAGCCATGAGTTGCAATATTTAAGGATGCTATGGGCAGAATACTGAATGATCTAGGAAGCATTAAAAGAAGATGGAAGGAGTATACAAATCATTATACCAAAAAGTTGATACAAAAGGTTGATACAGAAGAATTTCATGAAACAACATATGACCAAGAGGCAATGGTGATGAAGGAGGAAATGCAGGCAGCTCTCAAGGACTTGGCAAAGAATTAGGCCCCAGGAATTGATGGAATACCAACTGACATATTTCAACACACAGATTCTGCCCTGGACATGCTCACCAGATAGTGCCAAGAAATCTGGAGGACAGCTACCTAGCCAACTAACTGGAAGAGATCCATATTTTTCCCATTCCAAAAAAAGGTGACCCAACAGAGTGTGGAAATTATTGAATAATATCACTAATATCGCATGCAAGCAAAGTATATCAACAGACAACTGGCTGGGTTTAGAAGAGGTTGTGGTGCTAGAGGCATTATCACCAATGTCAGATGGATCTTGGCAGAAAGCAGAATGTATTTCATCGATTTTGCAAAGGCATTTGACTGTGTGGATCATAACAAATTGTGGCTGACCTTGAGGAGAATGGGAATCCCAGAACACTTGACTGTGCTCATACAAAACCTACCCTTGGACCAGGAAGCAATCCTTAGAATAGAGCAAGCAAACACTGCATGGTTCAAAATCAGGAAAGGAATGTGTCAGGGAATCATCCTGTCTCCATATATTTTCAATCTATATGCAAAACTGATCATTCAGGAAACAGGGCTTTATGAGGAGAAGGATGGCTTCAAGATTGGAGGAAGACTCATCAACAACCTATGTTATGCAAATGACACAACCTTGCTCACTGAAAATGAGGAGGACCTGAAGTGATTGCTGCAGAAGGGCAAGTACTGTAGTCTTCAATATGGATTGAAGCTCAACATCAAGAAGACAAAGATACTCACCACTGAGCCAACTGGAAGTACCAAAACAGATGGAGAAGAGATTGAGTTTGTTAATAATTACCGCTTGTTCAGCTCCACAATCAACACTCTTGGCATCAGTGGTCAAAGAAATCAAAAGATGTATTACACTGGGAAAATCTGCTGCCAGAGATTGCTCCAGAGTACTGAGAAGCAACAATGTCAGTCTGGAAACGAAGGTGTGCCTGATCCAGGATATGGTCTTTGCAATTACTTGCTATGGATCAAAAAAGCTGGACAATGACTAAGGATTACAGAAGAGTTGATGCCTATGGGTTGTGGTGCTGGAGAAGTGTTTTGAGTTTACCATGGACCACCAAGAAAACACAAAGGTTGGCTTGGAGGGGGTGAAACCGAGTTTCTCCTTGGAGGCTAGGATTTTGAAGTTCCGTCTAACATGCTTTGGGAACGTGGCCAGGAGGGACTAGTCCTTGGGGGAGGATATCATGCTTGAACGGGTGGAGGGACACAGCACAGGAGAAAAAGACCTGGATGAGATGGACTGATACAATAATTGGGGTACAGTAAGACTGGCTCAGAATAGGACAGGCTTCAGAGCTATTGTACACAGGGTCGCTATGAGTCGCAGGGAACTCGATGGGACACAACAACAACAACATAGGCTAGAGATATGCATTAAATATTTGAAAGTGCAGAAAACCTGTAGTGCTTTAAAAGCACATAAGACCTGTGCAGTTTTCAGATTAAGGCTTCCAGGTAGTGATCTGAGATCAGAATACGAAAATTCTCTCTGGGAATCTACTCTCATGAAGGAATTGTTGAGGCTTATTCCAAAAATGCATGATTCTGTCACAAATGAAATATGGAACCTCATTTATTTTCCTATGTCTCCAATTTAGTATAGCTATTTAGTGAAAAGCTTTCTAATCACAGGAACCAGAAACTTCCAGAGAAGACATTTCACGTGATTATGGCTAAATGCTCCTAAATTCTTGAGAACTAAAGTCTGAACGGAGAATATTCTCTTTTTTTTTTTCTCAGAATATTCTGAAATACTTTTTGACATACTTTCCAATTGTCTAGAAACTTAGAGCAAGCGTGCATTTCACTGGGCCATACCTCTTCCTGCTTGCTTATCCTAATACAATAAAGTTTTTATTTCTTCGTCACAAAGCTCAAACAGTTCTTCAAGGGCTGGCAGCTAAAAAGCAGAAACGCAGGCTGATCTTTGAGTCTCACAATGAGATATAAATGGGCGGCAAGACAATTGGTCAAGAGCAATCTATTTGTTTAAGAAGTTAAAAACCAAAAGCTATGTTGGGTAATGCCAAATCCGTACTAATTTAAAGACGGATTTCTTGTAAGTGGTGCTCAGGTATTAGGGCTATGGTCAGAAATAAGAGGAGGCCAGAGAGAGATGTGTGGATTTTATTTCATTGAATCTGACCCTTCTACCTCCCCTGCATCATAAAACCTTAGCAAAATTCCAAAGTTACGCAGTTAATTAAAAGGGAGATAATAAATGCTTGACCTCCTTTTGAATCGTATTAGCATTCTACATATTCCATGTGAGGATAAAGTGGAAATGGAGTCCTTTGTGTAATGTTTTATTAACCAACTAATCATTCTTAGATATAAAGGAAAGTCTGTTTCAAGTTCATAGAAAATAAGCTTAGGGTGAGTAGTTCTGAAACACTGGTTACATTTGCAGGGACTTAGGAGTTTTAATAAAGCTGAAAGGGATGAAGTAAAAAAAAAACAAACAAAAACTTGCAAAGCACTGTGTGTGGGTTTTATCCCCCCATGAGCTCTGGAAAACCATCAAGGTGGTTTTATGAGAGTCATTTTTATTTTTTTTTTTACCAACAATGACCTCTTTGTGGCTGCTAAACTGCTTTCTGTTAAAAATTATTTTCTCTATTTGAAATATTTTAATATATCTTCATTACTTAAGGCACTTTTTGTAAAGCTCTTTTTTAAAAAAAAATTTAAAAAAATTCGTTTAAGTGGCTGTAGAGAGTTGAAAGGCCAATACAAGGGTTGCACATTTCCGGAGATTTGAATCCACCAAAGAATTCATGGGAAAAGATGTGCAGTCTCCTTCCCTTGAGATTTACAGCCTTCGAAACCCAATGGAGGGTTTGTTATTAGTTCCAGCTCAGTAAAAGTAAGAAAAGAAATGAAAAGCCTTTAAAATCCAAGAAGTCTGAGAACCACCCCTCTCCTAGGGAACCCTGGTCACAGGGTGGTAAGGAGCTGTGCTGTCTACCCAAGGAGAGCCATTCAAACCTACCAGCAGCTCTGAGGGGAGAAATGGACAATCAGCCTGTGCAAACCTCTGAAAACAACAACCTGGAACCATACATTATAAAACATAAAACTTGTGGAGTGGAGTAGGTGGCCCATAAATTACCCTATAAAGGACACTACAGGCTTCAAAAGTCCTCATTATGAAAATTTATTAACTTCCCTCAAAAAAGGAGGCTTACTGTATGATATATTCATTCCCAGTTATAATCATGGTTTTGCCTTCCAACAACCTGGATCAAGAAGTCCCATTTACCTAGAACAGGACATGGATAACTGCTCAAATGGGCACAGGGAAGGAGAGAAGGAGAGAGGGGAGCAGAGGCAGAGAAGACAGGGAAGAAAATAAATACCACAGCAGCAGAGATTAATAGGTAGATGGGTGAGGTGATGGGTTAGGCAAGGTACAATGAGGATTTGATGAGACATTGTGATAAAAGGCATCCATTAGTTTTAATAAATACTATAAATTATAATCAATATTAAAACCCAAAATTTATATGAATTATTAAGTCAAAACCAATTAGAAAGCCCAAATAAATAATGAATTAATAATAGACTTTTGTATTTCAATAGGTTATAAGTGAGACAATAATACATTAATAGAGTTATTGATTTATAACCATTAAAAGGAGGAATCCTGGCATTATAGTGTTAGGCTGTTAACCGAAAGGTCAGACGCTGGAATTCACCAGGAGAAATATGGACAGTCTCCTACCATAGCAATATACAGCCTCACAAATGATGCCATGGTGATGGGCCTGGCTTCTGTTTGATACAGAAAGGTCTACTATATGAGATCTCTTAGCTTAAAAATAATCACAACCAATTATGAGACTAAAATACACTCTATGTTTTGGGGAGGAAGCTACTATTATTTTAAAAAATTATTTCTACTCATAAATGAATGTGCTGTGGGTAAACTACAAAAATACAGTGTCCAGGTAATAACACCTGATTATTAACATCCAGGAAACAGAACTTGTTTATTCAACATACAGGTAACATCACTAATGATTGACTTCCAGAGAATAAGACCAGTTACAGACATTCATCCAACCACACCTGGTTATTAGCATCCAGGCAACAACATTCAGCTATTTAATATCCACACAGTGACACTTGGTTACTGACATTCAGGTACCAACACATGGTTCTTTGATAACCATGTAACAACACCCACTTATTTGCATGTAGGCAATAGCACAGGAGTATTTTCAATCCAAGCAACAATACCCAGATATCTAAAATCCTGCCAAACACCATCTGGTTATGAACATCCAGGCAATATTTCCAGTTATTTACTTTCAGATAATAACAGCAGTTTGAATGCTGACCCAACAATACCTGGTACCAGTATCCAGACAACAATATCCAGTTATTTAACACCCAAGAAACAACATTCATTTATTTACACCCAGACAACAACACCTAGTGTTCAGCATCCACAGAGCAACACCTGGATAATTAGCATGCAGGTAACAATACCTGATCAATTAACAACCAGGGAGCAACACCTGGTTATTTAATACCCATGTGGCGACAGTGCCTTCACTATTGAAAAGGCATAAAGTGCAGCTGAAATACGTGAAGTAAAAAAGCCAACTATGGGAAAAAATTTTGAGCATTCCAGATCTAATAAATAACCAATTCTTATCATGTAAACATTAAACCCCAAACAGCACTAACACATAATGCTGACAGACATCACTCAGCCCTGGGGCCTCATGTGTCTGCTGGCAAGGGGCAGACTCCCTTCTCGCTACCACTCAGGATGTTCACTGTCACTTGACCACTAACTCCTCGCAAAATTAACTCAGAATAATGGTTTCAATTTCCTATTTTTTTCCTCCCTTGAAAGCCAAAATTCTCTTTAGATTTTTTTTTGGTAGTAGAAAATTGAATATATATTAATACAGGTATTTTAAAAAAAGCAAATTTGCATTAAAAAACTCTGGTTAAAGTGGTGTTAATACTCCCATCTTTATGTAACACTTGGGAGGATTTAAAATTGCTTTCATACATATAATCAAGCGAAGTTCCAGAAAGGAGTCTGACCAAGGCAGATGGAAATATCTAGAAACACAAGTAGAAAAAAGAAATTTGACTTGATAACTTTACCTCTGTGGCAGATAATCGTTTGTCTCCATTATCGCTCCCAACTCCTGAGTCTGAATCCTTCTTGCTGGGGTGGATGTCAGCAATATTGAGTTCATTTAGGGGAAAAGAAAAAAAACAAAACCAAACACACCACATACTCAACTACAAAGTTCATACTAAAATATACTGATGTACATTCTAATAATTATTTTGCTACAATTTTTTTACCATTTGTTATAAGGCAATAGAAAGCCCCAGTCCAGTTCAAAAGAACATTAAGATACAAGCCTAATAAAAACCATACACTCACACCCTCCAAGGACATAAACCAGATGATGTGTCAGACTCTCGGTGACCATGTGCCAGAGCACAACTAGGCTAACTTTTCAGGAGGATATTGCCAAACCTTCCTCCAGAGATAATGCAAAAATGAAATTGTGTCTTCAGGGTTTTGTGGCCACGGGCTTTAGCCAAGAGATCTACACACTAAGAAGGCAAATTATTTATTTGAAACATTTATAAACTTCATTTTAATGCTTAGAGTGGGAGAAAGACATCATGCTTGAAGAGGTGGAGGGTTGGGAGAGGAAAGGAAGACCCTCAACCAGATGGATCACGGTGACTGTAGCAATGGGTTTGAGTGTGTTGGAGATTGTGAAGATGTCACAGGGCAGAACACGGTTCACATCTATTGTTCACCGGGTTGCTACGAGTCAACCCTCGACTTGATGGCAACCACCACCATGTGAAATGGAAACTCTAGTGGCTTAATAGTAAAGAACTGCACCGCCAATGCAAAGATACCAAGTTCAAATCGGCTGCTCTGCAGAAGAAAGATGAGCAGTCTCTCTTTGTGAGATTTACTGCCTCTGAAAACCCCAAAGAGGGTCAGTTATGGATCAGTTCTGATTCAATGGTACACAACAACTACTACCATCATATAAAAAAGGGAGCTCTGTTGGCTCAGTGATGAGGAATTGTGTTGCCAACCCAAAGACAGAGAGTTCAAAGCCACAGGCTGTTTTTCGAGACAAAGATGGGCAATCTACTCCTGGGTGATTTACAGCCTTTAAAAATCCACTGGAGAGCCAGCTTTGAATTAGTTCTGACTCAACGGTGCAGAACAATACACAAGCACCATATTTAAAAAAAGGAATAAACGTCATAAATGCTTTTACTTCTTAAAATTAGGTTATTTTCAAGAACTTCATAAATCTTTATTCAATGATAAAATCATACTACAGTTATATTTTTCAAAGGTATCTTAAGTATTAAATACTAATACTTAAGAAAACAGAAATTTAAGCCACCTTGTTTAGTAAATAGTTAAGATTTTTTTGTTTTTATAAAATTTTTTATTTTATATTGGTTTGCACACAAAGTTTGAATACATTGTTTCACACTATCCTTCATTCACACTGTGTTTCAAATAGTCATTCTCATTTATTAGGTTTTATAGTTAAGACTTATAACAAAGAGTTAAGATTTCTTTAAGGGTGTTTGGTGAGAATTTTGTCCTCTGAAAACTTCTGGCCCAATTTATGCAAAAAAAAAAAACACCCCCAGCACATGTGAAAAGATTCCAACACTTCCACCCAAAACAGGAAATGGTAGAAACTATGCACAATGCATTTTAAAAACACAATGGAAAAAAATAAAGCCTACAGGTTTCTCAGCAGTGTCCTGGAGACAAATTAAAAATACTAATTCCAAAAGGGCATACATAAATTTAAAACGATATTTTAATTGAGAAGCAAAGAATATTTATATTCTAGATCATATTTATATGTATGATATACATATACATATTCATACACATGTGTGCAGACATATAAATAAATATATGTGTATGTAAAAGAAAGTACTTGAGAAGGAGAGAGGAGGAAATGAAAACTGGCAAAAGCCAAAATGCTTTCAATAATAATTTTCTTTCTGCAATAGTTTCTGCAAACCTGAGTTATACACTTAAATTGGTTAAGTAATACAAAAGGATATTTTAGTTACTTAGAAGGTGTTAGTCAAAGAAAATTCTAAACAGTGGCTTCAAGGGACAGTAGCTGGACTCACCTGTCATCCACGTGCTGGCGTAAATGTGGCTTCTCCATTGAGTGGAGGTACAGGGAGTCAGCTGTCTTAATCTGGCATGCCTGTATGCTCAGATACTTGAATATATGCACTTTACCCTTTGTACAAATCTATGGAGAAGTTAAAAACACATTTATCTGTGATGAAAAAATAAAATCAAAACACCAGATGATTTGCTCTGTATATCTTGGTTTTAAAATCACCATAATGACCTCTCCAAAACATTGAAGAATCTGAGAGGGTGGCAGGAAGGAGAAGAGCAGCTGAAGCAGCTGTGTACATCAAAATACCACATGGGATTTGCTTCTTGGTTTCCAGGCCTAGGTCAAAGTTTCAAGGAACATTCAATTCAATTGCCTTCATATAGTTTTAATGTTTCTATTTATATGGCATAGGGTCTGGGGACTTAAAAGTTTAAAAACTACCATCCAAGTTACCATCTTTGATCTCTTTTTCACTTGGAACAATGGGTTTTATTTGATTGGTTTTCTCCTGCACTATCTCTAACCCAGAGCTTTAGTGGCTCTAGTGCTAAGAAACAGAGCTGCAATCCCAAAGGTATATGGTACAAAAACCAAGTGCTCGATGGGAGAAAGATGGGCAATTTTCTCCTGTGGATTAACTGCCTCTGAAAACCTGCTGGAGGGTTAATATGGGTTAGTTCTGACTTGATGGCAAACAACAACAACAATTTATAACCCACTCACTGCCTTCAGGTTGATTCTAACTCACAGTGACCCCCTGAGGGTTTCCCAAACTGCATGTCTTGAAGGGAGGAAATTGTCCATCTTTCTCCTGATAAGCTTTTGGTTGTTTTTGTTGTTGTTATGTGCTGTCAAGCTGCCTGTGACTCACAGTGACCCTATGTACAACAGCCCTAAACCCTGCTCTATCCTGAGCCAACCTCACCATCTCTGACACACCAATCACCATTACCCCAGTCACTGAGTCAATCCATCTCGAGGGTCTTCCTCTCCTGTGCTGTCCCTCCATCCTCCCAAACATGATGTCCCTCTCCAAGTACTGGACACTCCTTGCAACATGCCCAAAGTATGTCAGACAGAGCTTCACAATCTTTGTCTCCAAGGAGCAACCTGGTTTTACCCTCTCCATTAAGAACTTGTTTGTTTTCCTAGCAGTCCATGGTATATTCAATACTCTTCTCCAACACCACAACTCAAAGACACCAATTATCCTTCTATCATCTCTAGTCATTGTCCAGCTTTCTTATGCATAGCATGTAATTACAAAGACCATGGCCTGGATCAGGTGCACCTTAGTCTCCAGACTAATATCGTTGCTCTTCAGTATTGTGGAGAGGTCTCTGACAGCAGACTTGCCCATCAAAATTCATCTTTTGATTTCCTGGCTGCTGGTCCCAAGAGTGTTGATTGTGGAGCCAAGCAAACTAAAGCTATTAAAAATCTCAGTCTCTTCACCATCTGTCCTGATGGTGCCAATCAGCCCAGTGGTGAGAATTTTTGTTTTCTCGATGTTGAACTATTGGCAGGCTCTATCTAACTGCTTGGCTTTTGGTTGGGAATGCATCATGTAATGCCTGAGGCTTTCATAATTAGCAAAGAAGTCAGGTAACATATGACCCAGTGTGTTAGAGTTAACCAAAGGTCCATAAACTTTATGGAATCTTTAAGGGAGATCTAGTAGCCTAGTGGGTAAAGCTGCACTGTCAACCCAAAGGTAGGCAATTTGAATCTAACAGTTGCTGCAAGGGAAAAAGATGAGTAATCTCCCTTGCAATTTATAGCCTCTCAAAACCTGCTGGCACATTAGTTATGAGTTGGTTTTGGCTGGAGGGCCAAAAGAGAGTGTATTTGTGAAAGCAGATCACCAGGCCTTTTGTCCACCATGTTGCTGTGTGAGTCAAACAGCCTTTAGGGTGGAGGTTTAGTGCAGACCATTTGCTTTACCTGGGAACCTTACAGAAGACCATGAAAAGATACACTTGTATTCAAGTCCACAGAAAGCAAAATCAGAGTTTAAAAATGACTACAGAACTAGTAAGTTATTAGCATTTTTTAAAAGAAAAGAAAATAACTATTTAAGGGCTAATAATTATGTTTTCAAGAGTTTAGGATTTGAGATTGCAGTAAATCTCTTAGGAACAATAATGGTAGTTTAAAATGTTTAAACTCCATGTTACTGTTGACATTAAAATAATCAGCTGGTCCTCACTATTTGTATGTTACATTTCACAAATTTACCTATTCATTACCTATTCATTAAAAATTTATTTGTAACTCTAAAACTCATACCCAGGGTACTTTTTGAACAGTGAAAATCTGAGTTCCCAATGCACATACATTGTTAGCTCAGTAAAACATTGATAAGTGGCTTTGACGCAGAAGACAAATTACTTTATGCAGATTCATCAAAGGTTTATTTGTGTCTGTGTGTGACTGTTTATGATCTAATATTAAATCAACAAAGTGTTAAAACACCAGCTAAGAGAGCTGTTTCTACTTGATTGATAACATTTCACAGCAGGGGTTTCACAAACCTTCTTACCTGTGCTGGTGGGGACTGCAAAGGATTGTTCTCGAGCAGTAAGACTTGTAGCTGCTTCATTTCTCTAAAGCAAATCGGAATGACGAGCACTTTATTGCAGGAGAAATCAAACTTCACTAAGGGAAGATCTACGAGTTCTAAAAGAACAGGGGAGGAGGAAGCTGTATTTAGCGAAGAACAAGACTGAATAGTCATGCAACAAAAAAGAAATTCTGCTTATTAGGAAAAACATCAGTTAGTTTAATAAAAGGTAAAGTGTACATTATCAATAAAGTGTACATTATCAATACATGGTGTGAACATACTGTATTTTACACCAGCTAAAAAAAAAAACACCTCATTGCCACAGAGTTTGAACTGACCCTCCAGGGAGTCTTTCTGGAGGCTGTAAATTCAACAGGAGAGATTGTTCATTTTCTCTCTTGGAGTGGCTAATGGATTCAAACTGCCACAGGCGTCACCTTTGGGTAAATAGCCTTAATTCCCTACAGACTACCCTGCCACCCCTCTGCTAATTTATTTTATGGGTAAACTTCTTTTCATTGTAAGCGCAACAATTCTAAATTTCTCTTAGGTCTGATGAGAAAGAGCTGGAAAATATCTTAAATTTACAAATCTATTCTTTAAGTGACTCCCCCTCCCTAACAAAAGAAACTCAGGCAGGTCACATGCTTTAATTCCAAACTGTGTTCGAGTTGTATGTAACTGCTAGTACATTAGTAACGGGCTAGTTACAGAATATTCTTATCTCTTCAGTATATTTGGGCTAGCAAAAACTCAGAGCTGGTTACAAGAAATAGGTTCTTGACATTTTAACTGTGTTTTAAAAAATAAATACAACCTCACTCAGAATATTCTGACAGGAGCTAGGATTTTGGCATGAGGAGGCACTGTTCACTTGATGACTTTAAAAAGTCATCTGCAGCTCAGCTCTACGAACAAGACAAATTTTATATTTAGTTTAAAATCCCCACCCAGTGGCACTGTAAACACTCAGCAATTTCAAGCATTCCAACTGACTTTGGCAGCTGCTGGAAAGGAAGTAAAATTCTTTCAAGTAAAGGAGGTGGAGCAAGGAGGGCCACCAAAAGGGGGTGCAGAGAACTTCTGAGACCGCTGAGCTAAGGGAGAGCCCAGAGAAAGTTCCTTTCTGAATGGGACCTGCTAAAGTCTTTACAAAGGTTCATGGAGTTCAAAAGTAGGGGAAGGGATAAAACAAAAACCTAACTCACTACTGCCAAGTGGATTCTGAGTCACGCACTTCCTTTGAGTTTCTTATTGGTTGGAAGCTCGATAATTCTAAATTGCTGTTAGTTCTAATAAGAACTGGACATCACATTTGGCAAAATAAAAGATCAGCAATGAAAGACGCCCCTAGGAGATGGACTGACATAAAAAAAAAAAATGCTCAATCCTTACAGCTCGATGTGGAACAGATGGCATACTCTGCAGTATTCTGTTCCTTTGTGCAGGGATTACCAGAAGGGTATTGTTGTTGTTATGTGCTGTCGAATCGCTTGCAACTCATAGCGGCCCTATGTACAACAGCCCTAAACTCTGCTCTGTCCTGTGCCAATCGCACTGTCTCTGACACTCCCATCCCGATTATCCCAGTCACTGAATCAATCCACCTCATAGAGGGCCTTCCCCTCCTGCGCTATCCCTCCACCCTCCCAAGCATGATGTCCTTCTCCAACATGTCTCTCCAACGGTCTCTCCTCACAAGATGTCCAAAGTATGTTAGACGGAGCCTCAGAATCCTTGCCTCAAGGAGCCACCCTGTATGTATGTACCAGAACGGAGAGCAAAAGATAATAACAACAACTTTTCACCTTGGTTAAACTTCCATAAAGCCTATCAATAGAGCTTTCTCAGAATTCAGCTTGTTCTGGGAGTGAATGAGTCCTTCTTTCTTTCTACCTTAAGAGGTGCTTTAAAGGTGTAGAAATAGGATTGAAAGAGTAGAAGGAAACACAGGGCATTTTTTAGCACAGCAGGTCACAAACTGCTCATGAGAGCTGTGTAAGATGAACTCTGGGAGTGTTTTGTTCTGTAAATGCAAATTCTCTGGATTTTAGGAGGATTGGTTGTTGGGTTTTGGGTTTTTTTCTTGTTTTGCTGGCTTTTTTTTTACATTTGATTGTCATTTGGGTGAAAGCTTACAGAGCAAATTCGTTTTGCACTCAACAATTTATACACATTTTGTTTCATGACATGATTTGCAATCATGGCAGTACACTCCCCCACAGCTTCCATAGGCTTCCCATTTCCCTTCAGCCTTCTTTCCTACTCCTTCCTCCCTTCTGGACTTTGTTTTGGGGCACATGTTGCCTTATGGTCTCTTGTGATAGTTCTGCAGAGTTCATTCCTCACAGATGTCACTCTTCACCTTATAAAGCTGGTTCTTTATGGGGCTGAAAGGTGAACTCCCAGAGTGGATTCAGTTCATTTGAAGGTTGTCTGAAGGCAATATAGTCTGAGGGCCTGTTCAACGCTCTGTCAGGCCAGTAAGCCAGGCAGGCTCTTTATGTTTTTAATTTACTACTCAAGCTCAGCTCTGCAGCCTCTAATTTGAGTAGAGGGACTCGCCTCAGGTCATGTAGGCCTAGGGATATGGTGTGGTGTGTGTTTTGGCAAGAGTGCCCCAAGTCTGAAGTGGAAGAGAGCAGGAAGGTGGAGAACCTGAGAGGCAACTGTGAAAAACTAAAGGAAAAGGGAAAGTAAGAGAGGGGGTAAAATTTTTTTCCAAGTCCCTCTGCCATCTTAGAGCTATTTCTAAAAACAATCTAAGAATAAGAGAGATCATATGGCACAAAAAAATCCTTCCTTGCTCTAACCTTTCATCTGCAATCTGGTTGATATTCCTGAGGAAATTTATAGGCTAAAACGGAACCTGCTCTTCAGTGGTCCCTGGACAACTACAGCAATGACATAGGGCTAGATGCGGGGAAGATGGGGGGGGGGGGACAACTGGCAGTTAAGGAAAGGATGGACTTTACAAATATTCTGTTTTAGTTTCAGTTTGACACACTCACTATTTTAGTTTAGAATAAAAAAGAATGTAGAGTTTACATGAGAAAATGGTGGAAAATTGGTTAACTCCAGCCTAGAAAAGGCCATAAAAAACCTAACAGAAAAGGGGAATAAGAAAAACCAAGCCCAAGCCCCACTTCTCTCTTCATCTGGAACTAGCAAGAACAGCATTAGGTCTGGAAACCTTCACTTGCAGGGGCTGTCCTAAAGCACCACAAAACTGAAAAGAGTAATTTATCAGAAAAATCTTTAATTTTTTAAAAATTTCAACATTTCAAACTAAACACTTATCATGAGGGGTATCCACAGATGAAAAGCATAAAATACGGAAAGTTTTGAAATTCATTACCTGAAAGTATTATTAACATTCTACTGTTATTAGAATTCTCCTGAGTGAAGCAAAGAAACTTGAGAATCATGAAATTATTTTTTATTTCCCAAAGCTCTTTTCTGGTAACTTGGTAGAAAATGTGCTGCCAACCGAAAAGTATAGTTAGGACCCACCAGTTGCTCTTCAGCAGAAAGATGGGCAATCTCCTTCCATCTGATTTACTGCCCCTGAGAATTCACTAGGGGGTCAGCTTTGAGTCCTTTGTGACTTGATGACACATAATAACAGTAACATATTCTATTGTGATTAAGCATTCCACTGTTAAACTCCAGACTGAGGGTTCAAATCTAAAAGTGGCCCAGAGTAGACAGGCCCAGAGTTTCCTCAAGACCGAGCTGCCAGGCACCCTACTTTGGAAGGGTCTCTGTGCACACACAAGCTCCTGGCCCTCACAGTCCCACTGCCAAGGTGCCCGAGAGGAAGGTCTGCTGGGCAGACAGGGCTGTGAAGGAGGAACCCAGGAAGAGATCAGTGAGCCTGTGGGGTCTACCTTCTGTACACATGGAAACAGGGTGAAGTGGCTCTCTGAAAAACCAAACAAGACTTACCTGCAGAAGATCGAGAAACTAAAAATGGAGAGTCAAGACTCAAATGAAGCCACAGAGAAAGAAGCCAAGTCTGATACTGCTGTCTACCAAAAGGGACCAATTTTTTTGAAAATGACATCATGCTGGGAAAGGCTGAGGGTCAGAGAAATAGATGAAGACCTTCAACAAAGTGGACTGACACAGTGACTCACACAGTGGCCTCCAGCATATCAGAGATTGTGAAGATGGTGCAGGACAGGTCAAGATTCGGATCTGTTGCTCACAGGGTCGCTGTGAGGCATATTTGAGTCAATGGCATCTAACAACCACCATCATGTCTTTATTGGCAGTCCCTGAATCTCCCTGACAGTATACCCCAGGGGAATATTCTTACCAATTGTTTTATAAATGCAAATTTCTTATTAGCTGTGGAAACACTTTTCAGAAGAAAGCAATTCCACTCTATCTTTTCAGTCATAAATTCTTTTTATGAGAGGTGAAATCACTTACTTGTTAACTTTAAGGAGCATTCAGGAAACAACAGGATACTGAATTGTAGGTGTCAATGTAACATTCCAAAGAGGGGGCTGTTTTTATATCCCATAATAAAGAGCATACTTAATGGCAATTTAAAGTTGTGGTCATACAATTGGACTTGAACAATTTAAATAAAATCTATTTCTCTGCTGTTGTTTTAATAGAGTGGTCTCTTAAAGAAAACCACTCCCTGTGCAATTTCTGTAACTGCTTTGACCACTGTAGTCCAGTTTTCCAAATACTTTTAAAACATGCTGTGATATGCTGAAAATGTCATTATGTGCTGTTATTGTTACGTACTACTGAGTCTACTCAAAGTGATACTAAGTGTTGTTGTTGTTATGTGACGCATAGCGACCCTGTGTACAACAGCCCTATACCCTGCTCTATCCCTTTCCAATCTTACTGCCTCCGACACACCTACACCCGTTACTCTAGACACTGAATCAATCCATCTCATTAAGGGTCTTCCTCTCTTGTGTTGTCTCTCCATCCTCCCAAGCACAGTGTCCCTCTACAAGGACTGGACCCTCCTTGCAACACATCCAAATTATGTCAGACGAAGCTTCAGAATCCTTGTCTTCAAGGGACAGCCTGGTCTCACCCTCTCTAGGACGAACTTGTTTGTTCTCCTCGCAGTCTATGGTAT